CCACATCACACATAGTGACATGGATAACCGCACGCGCTACTAGAGTCGCGTAAACAATCACTGTTCCCTTATTATCACAGGGCCAAGAGGCCAAAAGAGGGCAAAGCGCACTCGTCACCGTTCACTTCTCATGGCACGCCGGTGATGGAATTCAGAATACCAGTTTGTGGTTCTATAGGGATTTTCCCATCATTTTCTGTCACAATTCGATTCGATTCAGTCCTCCATCGAGTACAAGGCGAGAATTCGATGCGCCCATTTGGTTGTGTAGCGTAATTTTGCGTTTTAAGAAGGTAGATTCTTGACTAAATCGGTGTTGACGCTGTGGTTCGATGTTTTTCCAGCAGTATTAGGTCAGAATTGAATTGGGTTGTATCTGTTTTTGGTTGGATAACGTGTTACTGTTTTATTATTTTTTGATGCTCTATGTGTACTAGGGACTCGTTTTGCATGCTGGGGTGCATGGCTGTTTTTCTGGGGTTTTAAGCTGTTCAACTCATGAGTTAAATTTTAAGTTTTGTTGCTGCTGCTATTTGATTTTGTTGCATATTATCACTTGCTTTTGAGTTTTCTTCTCTGGTGTTGCATGTCCGGGTCTATCTATAATCTGGTTTATAGAATCTGGGGTTTCAATCAAATGTGATTGAATTAATTTGGCGTCGCTAAGGATATGGCTCTTGACAGGGTTGGATGGTGAAAATTTCCCATAAGTTGGGGATAAGCTGCTGCCCCTCTTCTGTTTGACTTAAAGTGGTATTTTGGGTGTCAATCTGGAAATGGATCTGTAGTCATCATGAAGCATGAAATGGTTCCTCCTTATGGCTGAGAATGAATTATACTTTGATAATAGCTTAATTAGATTTATGGCTAGAAGCATTCTTGAGAGATTTTTTTAGGTTCTTGAAATGGCAGTTGAAGACTATATTTATGATTCTCAACTCCCCTATTAGTTTAGTCTAATTGTTGCACAATTTGATCAATAGCTCATCTTTCTTTTTCTTGATCTCTCTATGGTTTTGGTAGGTGAGTATGGCTTCTATACCAGGTTGAAGGAAGAAGTTATAGTAATCATACAGCGACTAAATGAATTAAATGGATGAGTGCACGCCTGCCTTGATGTTGGCTTATATTGAATTATCTACAATTATATAGATTCTGTACTGATTTGTTTCTTCTGAGCTCTTTCGACTTATGGTGATTCTTTCTTTATTCATAGAAGGCTGGATCTTGGGTTCTCTGCTGTCATTTTTTACCATAACCTAACTTGTAAAGCCTTTAAGTCAGAATTTAGGACATCATACCTTCAAGGGCATTGTCATCATTTCAAGCATAATCCCTAAACTTGTGTGTTTCTCTGAGTTTTCTTCTGATTTGCGTTGGCCTTCTGGTTATAGTGCACAGCATCTCCTTTAGGCTTTTTTTTTTTTTTGGTTAGTTTCCTTAACTTTTTGTTTGTTGTATGCTTATTTGTTATGTTATTTTAATTAATGTCAAATTTATGCCTTTCCTGTGATGCAGCATCTCAAGTGACAAGGGGTACTTTCTGGAGCTTTTTATTTGGTAAATCTCCAAGAACATGATGAATTGTCTCAACTAGCAAGTATAGGTTGGTAACTCAATTTTTGCCTTTAGATAAACTATGGATGCACGGCCTGCTTTATCCATTCCAAGATCAGGTGGGGGCCAAATCAGTAACCTGGTGGCATCTGGAGCACGATCATCTTCCTTATCTGCCCTTCCAACGCCTCTGGAAGAGACATATCCGAAACTGCCTAATTCTCAACAGGTTTCCATTGAAAGAGAACCAACGACACAGCCTCTAGTCCACGCAACTCACTCATCCTCCACAAGTGGAGTAGTTGGGCAAATTTTCTCATCATCCTCGGGGTTTTCATCTGATCTTCATCACTCATCTGTATCATCCCTTGAAAAGAACTCAAGTAATAGTACTTTCGTGTCTCATTCATCAACTAATGCTATAGCTTCAACATTACCAGAATCTCCTAAGTCAGGATTGCCACAATCCACAGCATCAGATTATTACTCCAAAGAAATTAATGACCCCTGGTGTACAGAGTCACTGCCAGGTTTTCTTGATTTTCCTGTAAACACCCCTGTCCAAAGTAGTCAATTAGAAAGCAATAGTAGTGGTCTCGTGGCATCTGACGATTTCAGTAAACGAAATGATTGGCATGATTGGGCAGACCATCTAATTGGTGATGCCAGCGATTGGAATGAGCTTCTCGTTGACACTGATGTTGCAGATCAGGAACCAAAGGTGGGATTCTCTGTTAGAATTGAAGATTGAGATAACTATTCCATTATTATTATTATTATTATTATTATTATCATTTTAATATTTGAGCGTGCTCATATCTTGTTGCTTCAGATGGCATACCAAGCGTCTATTTCTCACACAGTCATACCAGCACAGCAACCTCAAATTCATCAGCTGCTTTCTCCAGCTGCTGCCGGACAAAGCGGGGGTGTTCTCACCCCCACCTCTTCAGGTAATAATGCCCCTGCCAAGCCACGCATGAGATGGACACCAGAACTGCATGAAGCTTTTGTGGAGGCTGTCAACCAACTTGGTGGTAGTGAAAGTAAGTTCCTCTTCTGGCCTTAACAAATTGTTTGTCTAAGGTGTAAGCATCATTTGTTCTGTTATTTTCAATTCACAGGAGCTACACCTAAAGGTGTGTTGAAGCTGATGAAAGTTGAAGGCTTGACTATTTATCATATAAAAAGCCACTTGCAGGTATCTATACATCCTTTACTTTTTGACTTAAAATTGTTTCTATGCATGCGTGTCAAAAGTTTTGTGTGGGTGAAATTGTCCTTTTAACTGGAGATATTGCTTTGACTGCAGAAATATAGGACAGCCAGATACAGGCCAGAATCATCTGAAGGTATACAACTGCCTTCCGTTTTTATACCTTCATTTTGTTTTCCCCAACTTTATTTCCATTGAATCAAGTATGTACAAATCCTCTTATTTTCCTTCAGTAATCAAATTAAGCAATAAAAGGGCCATTTAGTTGACTTGGCTGTTTGGTATGTGTGCTATTGTGATGGTATCTTAAATTATACCCTTGACACCAATTGTTCCCACATACTTTGTTGGCCTCTTATTAAACTGTGAATCATTCCTAATTGTTTAAAGTAGGGTTTGCTTTTCTATTATTTCTATTTTCATTTTGTGTTTTCTTTATACTCCCCCCATCCCCCCTCCCCTTCCTCTTTTTTTTTTAGGTAAGTTTGGATTGCACAATGGAAGGTAACCTTCTCCCATCCCATTTACCCACCCCACCTGCATGCCTACAACTTGAACCTAAGATCTCTTGCTCAATTTGGAGGAGAGATTACTGTTAGGCTGCTTTGGTTGTTGCCTCCATTTTCTGATTTTATTTAGTTTAGTCCCAGAATCTACAGCTTTCAAGTGGAAGTTTATGAGAAATGTCTAAGGATTAGAAACTATGCCAATCCTAGCATTATATCTAATGCGCTCATTTCTATTATTATGCTTCATGGATTTTATCCATACTGTGACCCATGCATCCTTGGATACTCCACCTTGTTCTTATTTGTGTTCTTTATTCAATCAAAACCTATATCTACCCCCTGTGTGACTACTTATCTCTATAGTTAGCAGAGATCTTTTGACAAGTTCAGTTGCATTTGTTATTGCACCATAACAGATACAAATGATTTATTTTTGGTAAGCCTAGATGGAATAATGGATTTTGTTATGTTGCTCGCAGGATCCTCTGAAAGGAAATTGACTCCTATTGAGGAAATGTCATCCTTGGACTTGAAGACGTAAGTTGATTATTAGTAATTTGTCGAAGATTTTTGTTTGTACCACATAATATGTTCTTTGTTTCTGGGACTTTGTTTTTCTAAATAAGTAGGATGCTACCTTGGTGAGTGTGAATTATTAACTTTTAAAAAGATGGTTGATGCTATAGCTTCTGATTCTTTTTGTAAGTTATTTACATTTTGCTCAATTGTTGGCTATATCATTTTAAATTGCTTTTAGAAAGTTTCAGATTGTTTTCCAGAAGATGTCAACACACCAATTGTTTCAAGCTTCTTTATGGTGTTATATTTGTTTACATTCATTAAAGATGTTCTTAACTGTGGGTGACAGGGGTATTGAGATCACTGAAGCGCTGCGACTACAGATGGAAGTTCAGAAGCGGTTGCATGAACAGCTTGAGGTAGGAATTTGTATATCAGAATGATATATATATATTTTTTCTCAATTGTTGATTACTGGATTGAGTTTACGAATGTGGAAATCAGTTTTTGAGGCATATTTTTGTTGCCTCTCATATTCTATTTTCTGTTGAAGATTACAAATATAAAACATTTTTAGCTCAGTGGAGTCTCAGAGATGGGTACCTTATTAGGATTTAATACCTCTCAAGTGATAAGCAAAGAAATGGTAACTTAAGTTTTTGCGTCAGTTTTGACTTGCTAGTTTGAATTGTATGTACACATAAGCCTTGAACTTGCTTTAGAGATGCTTAAGCATGGAGATTTGAGGTATATTTTGTATAAGTTTTGGTGCCATTTGCTGTCTTTTTCTTCTGAACAGATTCAAAGAAATTTACAGTTGCAAATAGAAGAACAAGGGAGGTACCTCCAGATGATGTTTGAGAAGCAAAAGTCAGGTTTGGACAAGCTGAAGGCTTCATCTTCTGATCCAGACAAGCTGGCTGCTCCTTCAGATGCCCCCAAGGATTCCCCTTCAAAAGCTGAACAAGATGCTTCCCATGCTGCTCGTAGCAATGCAGACACTGATACCAACGAAACTAACTCTATTCCCGAGGGGAGTCCACAAGAGTCAAATGGAAAGCAGAAAGCACCTGAAACTGAAGATTCAGAGAACGCAAGACCAAATGTTACTGAGTCAAGTTCTCAACCCACAAAGCGACCAAGATTCGAGGAATAAGCAATACCAACATTGAACAAACAGGCAATAATAACTCCTGGAAGAAATTTCAGTCAAGTAGGATCTGACATGAGGATAGAGCTTTTTGAGTTCAAGGTCCTCTCTTCTCTTCTTTTTCACCTCGTTGGCTATTGCTTAAGCTCTCTGATATATTTAACTGATAAACAGAAGTTTATAAGAACGTTTGATTTTATTAGTCTCCAGTCTTCACCTATAAAGGGCAAGGTACATTAGCTGCAGTTTCTTGAAATGCATTAGTTCTGAAGAAATCCCATTTTGTAGGGGAATTTTAATGTCCTAAAATTTAAAGCAACTCAATAAAGGTCTTGCTCAAGATGACTTGTAGAGAAGTGGGCAGCATACTTTTTCTTCCTGTTCCTGTAGTATTATACTCGAGGTTTAATTTTCATTTTCATCACCTGCAAAAGATACTTCCCATCTGCCATGTTTGGAAGGAATATGACCTTTCGTCCAACGAATAAGGACTTGTGTATTTATTTGTTCTTCACTCATTAATCTCATCAAGTTTTCGAAGCATTTCTTGTTGAGAAGCCAATTCCCTTCGAATTTTCTTCACAAGTCAGCATCTGCAGTTGGATTCAAAGATAAGAATTGTACAATATATAGAACTCTAAAGTACTGTTTAGATTTAAGGATTCAGATACAGTGGCATGATTTATATTTATATCCCACCGTTTGATGGTAATTACTATTTATAATTTAATATTTTTATTATTCATGTAGTCGTAATCTTAAATTATATGGTTAAATTCATTCCTTATTTAAGAATAGAAAATATATATGTTTATCAACTGTATTTTAAAAAAATTAAAAGATAAAATATTTTAAAATTATTTATTTAAATAAATTATTATTAAAAAAACTACAATAAAAAGTAACTTATTTTTAAAATATGGATAAAATGGTTTTGCTCTTATGATGTGTTATTTTATTAAGAAAAATAAAATAATTTTATCTATACTTTAAAATTTGATTATTATAATCTTTTTAATAAAAATTTATTAAACGAGTAAGGACTTGTGTATTTATTTGTTCTTCATCCATTAATCTCATTAATTTTTCAAAGCATTTATTGTTGAGAGGCCAATTCCCTTACTCGAATTCTTCATTAGTCAGCATCTGCGGACGTTGCATTAAAAGATAAGAATTGTACAATTTATGGAACTCTAAAGTATTATCTAAATTTAAGGATTTAGATATAATGGCATAACTATATCCTCTCGTTCAATATTTATTATTATTTATAATTAAATATTTTTATTGTTCATTTAGTCCATAACCTCAAGTCATATGGTCAAATTCACTCCTCATTTAAAAATAAAAAAAAATGTTTATTAACTATCTTTTAAAAAAATTAAGAAAAAATATTTTAAAATAACTTATTTAAATAAATTCTTATTAATAAAAACAGTATTAAACAATAACTTATTTTTAAAATAAGAATACAATGATTTTGCTTTCATAGATATTTTAAACATACATTCTTATAATTTTTTTAATAAAAATTTATTTAAACAAAAGTTTTCTTTAAATATTTTTGGAGTTACAGTTACTACTGATGAATTCTAATTTCTTTAACAAGAACTATTAAAATCAGGAAGATGGTTGTGTTTGATTACCAGGAAAATGATGTGGGGTTCATAGACACATGCAGAAAAAGGATTGCGTAGTAAAATACACGTTCTGTTAGGAAGAAGGGTAGTGTCAGCCATAGTCCCTTGCCTTGGAGTCGAAGTTAAAGCTACAGACATTGCCCCTAAATCTCAAATCCCACCATTTTCCCTCTTCCTCCTACCGCCCCCTTGACGTTTCTTCGAATCAAACCTACGACTTCCCACCTTACCGTTTGGTACAGACACTCATGTCTCTCTCTTACAAATACCCTCCTCCACCCTCCATCTCCTTCACCTCTCCTCCCTCTTTTCTGCCATGGCGAGTTTCGGTTCATTTGGTGTCGGCGATGTACTTTTTCTGTTTTTCTTCCTCTTTTTGGGTATTCTTTTTGGTGGGTTTTTCTTGAAAATGTGTTGTGTTTTTTCTGGCAGAACCGCGCTCCAACGCGGCAGTCTGTGGCGAAGATATGCCGAGTTTGCGGCGACGAGATTGGGTGTAAAGAAGACGGTGAGCTGTTCGTAGCGTGCCATGTGTGCGGGTTCCCGGTTTGCCGGCCTTGCTATGAGTATGAGCGGAGTGACGGTAACCAGTGCTGCCCCCAATGCAATACACGCTACAAACGGCACAAAGGTTTGGTCTTATCTCTCTTGAGCTCAAAGAAACAGACTTTTGGTTTACGGAAATCTCAATGGAGATTCTATTTTCTTGGACTGCAGGTTCTCCAAGAGTTGCAGGAGATGAGGAAGAGAACTTTGATCAAGATGATTTTGATGATGAATTTCCGATTAAGAGTAACCATGATGAATCTGATCATCAACATAACGCTAATCAATCGGTAATTTTCATATTTATATATATGATTCTTGATGACCATTTTGATTACAGTCAAAGAAAAGCCAAGATGGTGAATTGGATTTTGCAGGAAAATGGAGAGTATAACCAACAACATCCCAATGGTCGAGCTTTTTCAGTTGCAGGAAGTAGTAAGAATAATAACTTTCTTCAAATTTTGCTCTTTCCATCTTGAAAATTTTTTATTTTTATTTTTATATTTATCGATTGGTCTTTGATGGGATGCAGCTAATGGAAAGGACATTGAAGCTGAAAAAGAGATTTATGGAAGTGCAGAGTGGAAGGAGAGAGTGGAGAAATGGAAGGTAAGGCAAGAGAAGAGAGGTTTAGTCAGTCAAGATGATGGGGGAAATCATGACCAAGGAGATGAAGATGATTACCTGTAAGCAAATTACTCTTTATACACAATTATCATTGTTTCTAGGCATTTCAATGCAACAAACTAATAGTACTTTTCTGTTGCAGGATGGCTGAAGCTCGGCAGCCTTTATGGAGGAAAGTGCCAATACCCTCCAGCCTAATCAGTCCTTACCGGATAGTCATTGTCCTCCGCCTCTTCGTCCTGGCCTTCTTCCTCCGTTTTCGGATATTAACCCCAGCCTATGATGCCTACCCCCTTTGGCTCATCTCTGTCATATGTGAAGTTTGGTTTGCTCTCTCCTGGATACTTGACCAGTTCCCCAAGTGGTTTCCCATTACCCGGGAAACTTACCTTGATCGTCTTTCCATGAGATTTGAGCGTGAGGGGGAGCCCAATGGTTTGGCTCCAGTTGATTTCTTTGTGAGTACAGTTGATCCCCTCAAGGAACCACCAATCATAACAGCAAATACAGTATTGTCAATCTTGTCTCTCGATTATCCTATTGACAAAGTTAGTTGTTATGTATCGGATGATGGGGCATCGATGCTTCTTTTCGATACACTGTCAGAAACTGCAGAGTTTGCAAGGAGATGGGTGCCATTTTGCAAGAAGCATAATGTTGAGCCAAGGGCTCCTGAGTTTTATTTCTCTGAGAAAATAGATTACTTGAAGGACAAGGTTCATCCTAACTTTGTAAAGGAGCGTAGGGCCATGAAAGTAAGCTATCTCTCTGCTCCCTTCACTTTGCTACTGATAATGCATCAAGGAAAGAGGGTTTAAAGCATTGTTTGTGTTTTGGTGCAGCGGGAATATGAAGAATTCAAAGTTAGGATTAACGCATTAGTGGCGAAGGCTCAGAAGAAACCAGAAGAAGGGTGGGTGATGCAAGATGGAACTCCATGGCCTGGAAACAACACTCGTGATCATCCCGGGATGATTCAGGTTTGATAAGATCATCTAAACTTCTTTAAACTCTACAAATTCACTCTTGATCATACAAGGACTTAGAAGTTACCTGATTTATAGGTATATTTGGGAAGTGAAGGTGCACTTGATATAGAAGGCAAAGAGCTGCCAAGACTTGTCTATGTTTCACGTGAGAAAAGGCCTGGCTATCAACACCACAAGAAAGCCGGTGCAGAGAATGCCCTGGTGAGTACTTTTTATTGAAGTTCTAGTTCCTCAGATTAGGGGAGATGAAGAGGAAATACTAATGATTTGTTACTTTATTATTTCCATTTTGTCAGATTCGAGTCTCTGCAGTGCTTAGTAATGCACCTTTCATGTTGAATCTGGATTGTGATCACTACGTCAACAATAGCAAGGCTGTAAGGGAAGCCATGTGCTTCTTAATGGATCCCCAATTCGGGAAGAAGCTTTGTTATGTTCAGTTTCCCCAGAGATTTGATGGTATTGATCACCATGATAGATATGCTAATAGAAATGTTGTGTTTTTTGATGTGAGTACTGTGAAGACTTCTTTCTTGCATATAAAAATGAAAGTTTTCATTTCTCTTAACATTTAGGGTGATTGAATTTACAATGTGTTGTTTTGATTATAGATTAACATGAAAGGTCTAGATGGGATTCAAGGCCCTGTATACGTAGGCACAGGATGTGTCTTCAACAGACAGGCATTGTATGGATATGATCCACCAGTGTCTGAGAAGAGGCCAAAGATGACATGTGATTGCTGGCCTTCTTGGTGTTGCTGTTGCTGTGGAGGGTCAAGAAGAAAGTCCAAGAAGAAAGGAGAAAGAAAAGGCTTACTTGGGGGACTATTATTCAGCAAGAAGAAGAAAATGATGGGGAAGGACTATGTGCGAAAAGGGTCTGCACCCATCTTCGATCTTGAAGAGATTGAAGAAGGACTTGAAGGGTATGAGGAACTAGAGAAATCATCATTAATGTCACAGAAAAACTTCGAGAAGAGGTTTGGGCAGTCTCCAGTCTTCATAGCTTCAACATTAATGGAAAATGGTGGCCTTCCTGAAGGAACTAATAGCACATCACTCATTAAGGAGGCCATTCATGTTATTAGCTGTGGCTATGAGGAGAAAACTGAATGGGGCAAAGAGGTAACTAGTAATATAAAAGAAGCTCCTCTTTTTTTGTCTGTTTCTTTCTTTTTTTCTTCTTCAAATCTTAAGAACTCGTATATGTTGGCAGATTGGATGGATTTATGGTTCCGTTACAGAAGATATCTTGACAGGCTTTAAGATGCACTGCAGAGGATGGAAGTCAGTTTACTGCACGCCAAAGAGACCAGCATTCAAGGGATCAGCTCCAATCAATCTGTCAGATAGGTTGCACCAAGTTCTGAGGTGGGCTCTTGGTTCTGTAGAGATCTTCCTCAGTCGTCACTGCCCTCTTTGGTATGGCTATGGAGGAAAATTAAAATGGCTGGAGAGGCTTGCATACACAAACACCATTGTTTACCCTTTCACTTCCATTCCTTTACTTGCCTACTGCACTGTCCCAGCTGTTTGCCTTCTCACTGGAAAATTCATCATTCCGACTGTAAGTAATGTTGGATGCAGTTTCACAAATGGTTCTGAAACGTCATCTTTAGTTTAGTTGCTTTTCCTTAATTAGAATCTGAGATTTTCCTTTTTTACAGCTGAACAACCTCACCAGTGTATGGTTCTTGGCACTTTTCTTGTCCATCATAGCAACAGGTGTGCTTGAACTCCGTTGGAGTGGGGTTAGCATCCAAGATTGGTGGCGCAACGAGCAATTCTGGGTGATTGGAGGTGTATCTGCTCATCTTTTTGCAGTGTTTCAAGGCCTTCTCAAAGTCCTTGCTGGGGTTGACACGAACTTCACTGTCACAGCAAAAGCAGCAGATGACGCTGAGTTTGGGGAGCTTTACCTCTTCAAATGGACCACCCTCCTTATCCCACCAACAACTCTAATCATATTGAACATGGTGGGAGTTGTGGCTGGAGTTTCTGATGCAATCAACAATGGTTATGGCTCATGGGGTCCCTTATTCGGGAAGCTCTTCTTCTCCTTCTGGGTTATTGTTCATCTCTATCCTTTCCTCAAAGGTCTGATGGGAAGGCAAAACAGAACCCCCACAATTGTTGTCCTGTGGTCTGTTCTTCTTGCATCAATTTTCTCCCTCATTTGGGTTCGGATTGATCCTTTCTTGCCAAAGCATACAGGACCAGTCCTCAAACAATGTGGAGTGGAGTGCTAAGTCATGCTTTCTGGTACCTTACAATTCCCTCATGATTTCTACATAGTTTTGTGCCACCTTTTGATTGCATTGTTTCTCCAAGCATTTTGAAGAATAGGATTGTTGTATGTGTGTGGCAACTAGGATTTTGATGGTAATGAGAGAAAAGGATGCCGGTTCTGCATCCTTGACTATGTATGTACAAATGCACCTTCCTGTTTAGAATTCTGTTGAATCAAATCAACAATTTTTCTTCTGAGTACTGCAAATGAATCTCTTTCTATATTCTTATTCTTATTTTTCATTGTCATTTCTAATACTACTGATATGATTAAAGGGATTTAGAGTATTGTATAACACTCAATAGATGTATAAAAAAAATTAAGAAAAAGATAGTTTCAAAGAAAAATTTTAAAAAAGTGCAAGGCATTTTTTTTTCTTCACAATTTTCAGCTTTGTCTTGTTCGGAATCAATGATGAATTTAAGCAAATGATAAGGTGTTTTTCTCAAATTCTGTTAATTACCATAAATAAAAAGAAACTTTTTGTTGGTGATTAAATTTTTTAAATTTATTGAGGTTCTTGGCCTAATTTAATTTCTGCACAAAATAATTTTTTATTTTTCATTTTTGGTGTAGATGCCATATTTGTGGCTTGTGGAGGCAAGAATAATTCACTTCCTAGTTTAGGTCATTCAAGTTTGGATTAAGTAATTAATAAGGAATTGCTTTGCTCTCCGAGAATCAAACACATTCAATGTAAAAATAAATTTCTTTACCAACTAGCTGAATAAAAGAAAACTAGTGGTTGTTAGTTGTTACTTTTGGTCATGATGAAAACATTTGACAACCATTAGTGCAACATCTATTGGAGCTACAATTTCTTGTATTGACTTGGGGCATAATTTTAGTCAACTAGGAATAAGGCTTGGTTTGGGGTGTGGTTATCCTTATTCATTAATTTATTAAGATCACATAATATTGTTAAGAAAATATTAATTTTATTTGAATTAATTATTAAAAATAGTTATAAACTAATGGACAATTGATATTTGTTACTTAATAAATTAAAATTAATTTAGAAACTAATATTTTCAGACATTGTAACTAGCGAAAAAATTATAAATATTAGTCAAATTAAATACATTTTGTGTGGTCTTAACAAAGTCTTAGGTGGTCATAACCACATCCTTTGTTTGGGATTTATACAAGTAATTTTTCATACAACACTTTATATAAAAATGTAAATTTGTTATAACTAAATAATTTTAATTAACATTTTATATAATATAAAGACTTTTTTTAAGATGTGCCATGCAATTATTGTACTTTTTTTTATTAATTAGTATTAAAAGACTAATAATGATTAATTTTATCACAAATACTATGTAAATTATTTTAATTAGATAATTATTTAAATAAATATTAACTTTTATTTTTTCAATACTAATTAATGTAAAAAAATATAATAATTATATTTTTAACCTGTACCTTAAATATACTACTTAAAAAAAAAAAAAACCCTTTAGTAACACAATCCCAAACAAAAGCTTAAGTTGCCATTACCTTAAGTCAACCCAACTACAATCTAGCTATCTATTAGTGCTATCCTGTTTTATTTCTGAAGTTCACATCGCTTGCTAATGGTTAAAATTCCCAATGGTCAGTAATCAAAGAAAAAACCTAATAAATTAAGGATAAGAGAACAAAATATGAGCTTTTAACATACCCAAGAGACATCATATTCAATATTCATTCAAGGTAGCAATCACCAGAGAAAAAGAATAAAATCCAACATGGTTGAGCATCTAATCCTCTTCTTCTTCTTTTTTCCTTTTTCAGTATATTGAGAATTAAGCAACAAACGTAATGGAGCTTAATTTACCAAATGTTTTGATTTTCAGCAGAGGGAGGACTATAAATTTAAAAGCATACGTACAGAACTAGCTAGTGCTGTTGACACGTCTTCGGCTTCCCTTCATGTAAAGATTAAAATTGGGAGGAGGGCATTGTATGATGCCACAATTTGTGCTGCGTCCCGTATGAGGTATGTTTGCGCTTTGGCATTTATTCCTATATTAGTTTTATCAAAAGAATCTTGTCACGAAAAGAGTCGGCCAAATGATCTCACGTGGTTTAGTGGTGATTACGTTACTCATTAAGTAGTAGGTGGAAATCATGAGTTTGACTTTCTTAAAAATCGAATACTAACTAATCTAACCTAAAATTTTTTATTGTTAAAAAAAAAAAAAAAGAAAAAAGCAAAAAAGAAAAGAGCCGGCCAAACATATGGACACTATTTCATATGGGATTTTCCCCCTATAGATTGTATTTGTAAGAGTAGTCAATATGGTGTTTCAATAGATAATACCCTCTTTGAACGTTATTAGTGGAACTCACTCCCCAGACCATAACCAGTAAACCCCTTGACATAAAAAAAATGGGAAACCTAGGACAACCTCTGCAGTAAAACATAAATCCTCAGACCATAACCAATCGTCAACATGGTGGGTTGATAGATTTTTACAAAAAGGCGATAGGTAAATTAAGCTCCAGGTAATCACTTTATGTCTTACATATCTATTAAGACCCTTATAATATTTTTTTTTTATGTTCATTTTTAATAAATTAAATTATTTTTTTTAACTTTTTAAATGTAAATTTTAGATGAAAACTTAATATATTATATATATAATAATTAAAATTTTTTTATCAAATAAAAATATTTGAAAAAAAATTTCATATAAAATTTTTTAATTATTATTTATATAAATGGTTAAAATTTTATCCAAAATTTATATTTAAAAAAATAAAAAAATAAAATTATATTTATTAAAAATATGAATAGGGAGTAATATATTTTTTTTGAATAAATTTATATTTAGAGAAAGAGGATTTTAATCTCAATTCTTGAGTTAGAAGTACACCTTTTAATTTGACTTATAATCATTGACTGTGAGATCCAAGTGCGTATAGAGAGTAGCATTCGAAGACCTTTTACATATATATATTCGTCTTGTTATCAGCCTAATTTCTTTGTAGTGCCATACTATTTCTAGTCTTTTAATTTTTCACATTTAGCCTATGTGGCAAAGGTATAAATTAAGATGTTCTTGAATATTTCACTTCAATAAAATTATACTTTCTATAATAAAAAAATTTCTTGAGGC